GTAATTTTGTAATGCTTGGATCTTCTTTTTTCCCCTTGCCTGAGGTCGTATTATCAATGATTAGCACATCTTTGATAAGATCTGAGAACTCTTTTTTCTGGTACATGGATTGTATTTCATATTCTAATTGATCTCTCTTCCATCTTGGTCTTTAGCTTGTCACCATGAGTGCCAATACAATAGAGACTAGGACTAGGAGAAGTATCATCTTTGTTGTGCTTCACAAGGTGACTGTGTATTGTAGACATCCATTTGGCCATTAGATCACTTGTGCTTTCATTCACTACCTCACCAAATAGCACTCTACCATCAGGAGTATTCTGACGTGACTGCCATCTTTCTCTGAAATCCTTTGAAGCATCAAAGAGGAGGAGAAACATTGTACGAGGAGTGAGGAAGGCTGGGAGAATCTCAAGGAACACTGGCTGACCACCACAATCCCATATATGAAGAAATGGCTGCTGCAGATTGATAAAATTATGCAATTTATTTTTAACAGTATGATTAGTATCTATGCATGACTCACTTGAACAAATGATTTGGTTGTCTGACCAGTGGAACCTTTAGCTTTTCTAAGTAATGATTGGATACGACCCTCTACATTCAAATCAGAAGCTATTGAACTAGTAGATGATTCATTATGAGAATATTCTGCACTTAATATAGATGCATTGTGCGAGGATGGTCTAGAAAGACTGGATTCAAGCAAATGTGCAAGTTCCTGAATTTCATCTTCTTTTGTGGCTTCTCTCCATTTTTTTTCTCTCATTGTTTGCCACTCGTGTCCAAATGGTCGTACAGAGGATACATCAGATACAATGGTGCTTGTAGTATGAGGATTGAAAGGTTTTTCCATTAATGAACGCTTGAGAGATGTCTTGCCAGTACCAGCTGATCCCAGTAACATAAGACGAGCATACGCTACATCAGCACTTCCTTGTTCCTTGAGAGAGATCTCATAGGGAACTATAGGTACAATATAATGGGCATTATCTCATGTTAGTTTTGTATATTTATAAAATAGCAAATCATTGAAACAAATAAGCTTAGGTTCTAATAACTTCAGCGTATAGCCTAAAGGCAGCAAGATTGTTTCTACATAGTACTATCTTTGTTCTACATGCATATATAATCCATTACTTTACAGTACTTTTGTGTAAAAAAAACTTTAGAGTTACACAAGTATTATATTTACTTACTTATATCCTATTAAAAGTGTAGTGAGAATCCATTGTATTAAAAAAATAAAATCACATCTCACAACAGACACATAAAAATATATATATTCACAAATTTCAAAAGTAACTTGATCTTACTATCTATAAAATTGTGAATAACACAGTTTAGTAAAGTATCACAATGGTGTCATAGAAGAAAAGAATAAAATTATACATTCACATGTGACGTGACTTACTTCCTGAAAGATTGTGAATAACACAGTTTAGTAAAGTATCACAATGGTATCATAAAAAAAGAATAAAATTACACATTCACATGTGACATGACTTACTGGCTGAAAGATTGTGAATAATATAGTTTCGTAAAGTATCACAATGGTATTATAAAATAAATGAATAAAATTACACATTCACATGAGATTTGACTTACTCTCTGAAAGATTGTGAATAACACAGTTTAGTAAAGTATCACAATGGTATCATAGAAGAAAAGAATAAAATTACACATTCACATGTGACGTGACTTACTAACTGAAAGATTGTAAATAACACAGTTTAATAAATTAAGCATCGATCACAATGGTGTCATAGAAGAAAAGAATAAAATTACACATTCACATGTGACGTGACTTACTCTCTGAAAGATTGTGAATAACACAGTTTAGTAAAGTATCACAATGGTATCATAAAAGAAAAGAATAAAATTACACATTCACATGTGACATGACTTACTATCTGAAAGATTGTGTGAATAACACAGTTTAGTAAAGTATCACAATGGTGTCATGGAAGAAAAGAATAAAATTACACATTCACATGTGACGTGACTTACTTCCTGAAAGATTGTGAATAACACAGTTTAGTAAAGTATAACAATGGTATCATAAAAAAAGAATAAAATTACACATTCACATGTGACATGACTTACTGGCTGAAAGATTGTGAATAACATAGTTTCGTAAAGTATCACAATGGTATTATAAAATAAATAAATAAAATTACACATTCACATGTGACGTCACTTACATCCTGAAAGATTAATTGTGAATAACACAGTTTAGTAAAGTATCACAATTGTATCATAGAAGAAAAAAATAAAATTACACATTCACATGTGATGTGACTTACACTCTTACTAAACTTTGTTATTCACAATCGTTTAAAATATCAAAATGGTATCATAGAAGAAAAGAATAAAATTACACATTCACATGTGACGTGACTTACTGACTGAAAGATTGTGAATAACACAGTTTAATGAAGTATCACAATGGCATATCATAGAAGAAAAAAGTAAAATTACTCATTCACATGTGATGTCACTTACTGTCTGAAAGATTGTGAATAACACAGTTTAGTAAAGTATCACAATGGTATCATAGAAGAAAAGAATAAAATTACAAATTCACATGTAACATGACTTACTGACTGAAAGATTGTAAATAACACAATTTAATAAAGTATCATAATGGTATCATAGATGAAAAGAATAAAATACACATTCACATGAGATGTGACTTACTCTCTAAAAGATTGTGAATAACACAGTTTAATAAATATTATAATGGTACCATAAAAGAAAAGAATAAATCTACACATTTACATGAGATGTGACTTACTCTCTGAAAGATTGGGAATAACACAGTTTAATAAAGTATCACAATGGTATCATAGAAGAAAAGAATAAAATTACACATTCACATGTGACATGACTTACATACTGAAAGATTATAAATAGCAAAGTATCACAATGGTATCATAGAAGAAAATAAGAAAATTACACATTCACATGTGACGTCACTTACTTCCTGAAAGATTGTGAATAACACAGTTTAATAAAGTATCACAATGGTATCATAGAAGAAAAGAATAAAATTACACATTAACATGTGATGTCACTTACTGCCTGAAAGATTGTGAATAACACAGTTTAATAAAGTATCACAATGGTATCATAGAAGAAAAGAATAAAATTACACATTAACATGTGACATGACTTACATACTGAAAGATAATTGTGAATAACACAGTTTAATAAGTATCACAATGGTATCATAGAAGAAAAGAATAAAGTTACACATTCACATGTGATGTGACTTACTCTCTGAAAGATTGTGAATAACACAGTTTAGTAAAGTATCACAATGGTATCATAGAAGAAAAGAATAAAATTACACTTTCACATATCATGTGACGTGACTTACTGGCTGAAAGATTGTGAATAACACAGTTTAGTAAAGTATCACAATGGTATCATAGAAGAAAAGAATAAAGTTACACATTCACATGTGATGTGACTTACTCTCTGAAAGATTGTGAATAACACAGTTTAGTAAAGTATCACAATGGTATCATAGAAGAAAAGAATAAAGTTACACATTCACATGTGATGTGACTTACTGCCTGAAAGATTGTGAATAAAACAGTTTAGTAAAGTATCACAATGGTATCATAGAAGAAAAGAATAAAATTACACTTTCACATATCATGTGACGTGACTTACTGGCTGAAAGATTGTGAATAACACAGTTTAGTAAAGTATCACAATGGTATCATAGAAGAAAAGAATAAAGTTACACATTCACATGTGATGTGACTTACTCTCTGAAAGATTGTGAATAACACAGTTTAGTAAAGTATCACAATGGTATCATAGAAGAAAAGAATAAAGTTACACATTCACATGTGATGTGACTTACTGCCTGAAAGATTGTGAATAAAACAGTTTAGTAAAGTATCACAATGGTATCATAGAAGAAAAGAATAAAATTACACTTTCACATATCATGTGACGTCACTTACTGGCTGAAAGATTGTGAATAACAGTTTAGTAAATTAAGTATCACAATGGTATCATAGAAGAAAAGAATAAAGTTACACATTCATATATGACGTGACTTACATTCTAAAAGATTGTGAATCACACAATATAGTAAAGTATCACAATGGTATCATAGAAGAAAAGAATAAAATTATACATTCATATATGACATGACTTACTTCCTGAAAGATTGTGAATAACACAGTTTAGTAAAGTATCACAATGGTATCATAGAAGAAAAGAATAAAGTTACACATTCATATATGACGTGACTTACTTCCTGAAAGATTGTGAATAACACAGTTTAGTAAAGTATCACAATGGTGTCATAGAAGAAAAGAATAAAGTTACACATTCATATATGACGTGACTTACAAGCTAAGAGATTGTGAATAACACAGTTGAGTAAAGTATCACAATGGTATCATAGAAGAAAAGAATAAAATTACACATTTACATGTGACGTGACTTACTTCCTGAAAGATTGTGAATAACACAGTTTAGTAAAGTATCACAATGGTATCATAGAAGAAAAGAATAAAATTACACATTTACATGTGACGTGACTTACTTCCTGAAAGATTGTGAATAACACAGTTTAGTAAAGTATCACAATGGTATCATAGAAGAAAAGAATAAAATTACACATTCACATGTTACGTGACTTACTTCCTGAAAGATTGTGAATAACACAGTTTAGTAAAGTATCACAATGGTATCATAGAAGAAAAGAATAAAGTTACACATTCACATGTGACGTGACTTACTTCCTGAAAGATTGTGAATAACACAGTTTAGTAAAGTATCACAATGGTATCATAGAAGAAAAGAATAAAGTTACACATTCATATATGACGTGACTTACAAGCTAAGAGATTGTGAATAACACAGTTGAGTAAAGTATCACAATGGTATCATAGAAGAAAAGAATAAAATTACACATTTACATGTGACGTGACTTACTTCCTGAAAGATTGTGAATAACACAGTTTAGTAAAGTATCACAATGGTATCATAGAAGAAAAGAATAAAATTACACATTCACATGTTACGTGACTTACTTCCTGAAAGATTGTGAATAACACCGTTTAGTCAAGTATCACAATGGTATCATTAAAAAAAGAATAAAATCAGGCATACATGAGATGACTTACAGCTGCCATTGTATGAGAATCTTGTTGATCTGTGGTAGAATGAGAATAAGAAATAAATTTATGCACATGTATGTGTTAAAAATGTCAAATTGTTTTTTAATCAACACCATGCACACAATCTTTAAGCCTGGTTTACACTTAATTGCAATAGAATGCAATGCAAATGAACACAAGATTAAAGTTTGGTTAATTTTCCGTCAACAACTCAACGCCTATGCAATCTTGATTGTTTTGTCGAATGTAAACCTAGCTTAAGAAAATGATCCAGCCAATTATTTTAGTCAATTGACTACATTTAGTATGGGGCTCTATCCTCAATTCCACAGCTAAAAATGACAGAATCACATTTATCTCACAGATAAACCACTTTGTTTTGGTACTTTGGACATATGTATCAGCCAGAACCCCCTTTTTAAATTTATGCATGGTTGTAGCATAAGTGTATACAAAATTAGTTCCTGTCAAACCTCCATGCTACTTTGGCAGGCAAATGTATTAAGAATGTGAATTTAATGAAATATATGAATAAGAATAGCCATTGTGGAGGGATTATAGCTATTTACATGCAAAACCTAAGGCCAAAGTCTGAATAGTATGTTTCAAATATTTCAATTCCAAAGTTTGTCTATACTATGAATGCATAGTCATGTATAAGTTTTGGTCAAATTTGGCATAGATCTTGTAATGCAGGTTTGACTAATAATGATTTATCGTTTAAGTTGAGCAGGGGTGTAGGAATAGGGGGGGGCAACTGCCCCCC